AAGTTCAGGATATCACTGAAGGATTTTGAACAGGGGAATGGCATTAGATTTTTAAGTAATTTTAGTTAATATTTACATAGTGCCCTGTGTCAGGTTCTATCCTGTGTGTATTATCTTAGTATGTTTGCTGATTGCAGTATTATCATCTTTATAGATAGGAAGATGGAGGGAAGCTAAGTAATTTGTTAGATTTCACAGATAGTAAATGGTGGAGCTATAATTTGAACCTAGTGCTCTGATTGAGAGTCCATATTCTTACTCCTTGCCTACCCTGATTTTTTAAAAAGAGTATTCTGGGCTGCTGAGTGGAGATGGATTGGAGAAAAAGGAGATGTGGGAACACCAAGGAGGAAGTTGTTGCAGTGGTTTGGGTAAGTTTCAGAGGTTTGGTGGATTAAGGTGGTAGTTGTATATATGGAGGGAAGGATATATAAATTAAGTATGAAATCCTGAAAAATGCACAAAATAATAAACACTCATGTTTTCATTATTTAGAATTAATTCAGTAACTATTGATGTTATGTGACATTGTTTTGGGTTTTTCTTTTCTCTATCTTTTCTTCCTCCCTCTTTTCTGTTCTTGTGATACTGAAAATTGAATCCAGGGCCTTTATGCTGAGTTATATCCCTAGGATCTGGTGGTTTTTTTTTTTTTTTTTTTTTTTGACAGAGTCTTGCTAAATTGCTGGGTGAACTTGTGCTCCTCCTGCCTCAGCCTCCCAGAATGCTCATATTACAGGTGTTTGCCACCAAACTGAGCATTTTATTTTAAATAGAGCATTTAAAAAAAATTTTATTTAAAAATTTTAAATAAAATTTTTTAAATTTTTTTTTTTTTTTAAATTACATTCCCTGTCACACCAGCCCCGCCCCCAGGGCGGGTTGAGATGGTGGTTGAGCCTGGGTGTGGTTGGTGCACGCCTGTAATCCCAGCACTTGGGAGGCTGTAGACAGTAGAATCACTACAAATCTGATCTAGTAGTGAGACCCTGAACACCCTGTAGACCCTTACTTAAAATACAGAAAAAAAAAAAATAGAGCATTACAGATACATTTCCATTTCTCAGTATGTGGCTGTGTCAAACTTCCATTGGCCAGGGTAAAACTTTTGGTGCTTTCACCTTTCTTTTTTCTTTTTTCTTTTTTTGCCTTAACCTTCTAATAGTTCATCCTTGTTTACTGTACCTCAGAATAGATTAGATGCCTTTGATTCTGCCTTGTCATCTTACTCAGATGCCTATCTTCAGATCTTGTGGTACTATGCATGCTTCCAGCTCAGGGAGCTGCAAGCTGTTTTGGTAAAATGTCTAGATAGTAAATACTGTTTTAAACTTTATAGGCCACATACAGTTTATGGTCTTGATCACAACTCTTTTTTTTCTTATTTTATTTTATTTTTTTTTCTGGTCCTGGGCATTGAACCCAGGGCCTTTGCACTGAGCTACATCCCCCAGTACTTTTTTGCATTTTCTTTTTCTTTGAGATGGAATCTCTCTCTCTGAGCTGTCCACTAGGCTTGAACTTGTAGTCTTTCTGTCTCAGCCTTTCAGAGTGCTGGGACTATAGGTGTGCAAGGCCAAACCTGGATAGTAGTTCTTTAAAAATACCTGAAAAAGAAAAAAAAATTACCTTGGGGCTAACATTGGCCCTTGCTATAGTTCTTTGTCTTAGCATTCTGACCATGCTGTTTCCCTGTCTGTTTTCCTGTGTGCTGTCTGTTTGCCCTATTCCATTCTAGTCAAGCTTACTGGTCTTCTTGCCACTACCTGAATTTGCCAGGTGCGCCCTTGCCAAGGTACCTTTACACTTGCTGCCCTTGCAGCGCTTTCCCCTTAGGCAGCAGCATTTGGTGCTTTTCTGCTTCAGGTTTCTGCCAAAATATCTCCTTACCACAGAGGTCTTCCTCAATAAGCCTGTCTAAAATAGCATTTCATTGTCACTTTTCCCCCTTTCTCCAGCTTTATTTTTTTCTTCTTGGCATTTGTTATCCCGTACTTACCATACGCTTATCATCTGTCTTTTTTCACTTTGAATGTAAGTGCTATGAAAGCAGGAATAATATTTGTAGGAATATTGCAAGACTTGAAATACTGCTTGGTGCATAGTAGGCCTTTCATAAATATTTTTAGCAAATACCGGATTACATTTGTGTAGCAATTTGAGATTACATTTGTGTAGCAATTTGAGATTACATTTGTGTAGCAATCCCTGGTCCTATTCATCTCCTTCCTTTTATGTTTCCTAGAGGCAGCCATTATGGGTTTTCCGTGGGACCCTCTGGTATATTTTTTCTACTTTAACAGAGTGGGTATTCACAAATGTATGGTTTCTTTTTGGTTTAAAATTATAAAACTGGTGCCATGCTCTAATATTGTACAGCTTGCTTGTGAGATATCCATGTAAATATACATATATATATATA